TATGATACCCCGGTTGGGTTGACTCAACTGATAAGTGTAAAACAAACGCGCTATCAAAAATAGGTAAAAGAATAATTATTTTGCATGTTGGCTCTAAAGATGGTTGGATTCCAAATGGACTTTCTCTGTCTGCGTAACATATTAAAGACTCTTCTCTGTATTACCATGAAGACACCACCGCTGATTTATTTGAAAGTTGGTTTAAAAACAAACTAGTTCCAAACATTCCTCCTAATAGCGTTATTATAGTGGACAATGCAACAATCCAAAACTACATGTATAATAACGACATTTGTTTTCACGAAGATTAAGAAGGCAATTAATTGAGGTTCTTAAAAGCTTGAACCTACAAAAGGAATACGTCTGTGATAATTATGCAAAAAATCTAGGGCATACAGTTTTAAGGCTTCCACCTTACCACTGTATATTTAATCCCATTGAACATGTTTGGCACCAACTGATATCTGCCATTCGTCGTAACAATGTTTTTCCCCGTGTTAACTCCAATGTCCTCAAACTTATAGAAACCGAAGTTTTTAACATCCCTCCACAAAGTTAGGCTAATTCTGTTAAACATATAGAAAAAGCAGAACAATCGTATGTCCATATTGCAAATAATATAGAACAAATAATAATTAGAACAGGCGATGATAGCGATAGTGATGCTGATATATTATGTGAATAATTTTAAGTAATTTAAGTAGGTAATAAAAATAATTTGTAATTTTATTTTAGATTTAAACATAAATCCATAAATAAATAAATAAATATTGTTTAGTATCTTTCCTAACAAAACCCCAAATAATTAAATACTAAGCAAAGGTGGGCCATATTTCATTCTTACAGCTTGTCCGGGTCTTTCCTTAATTCGTTTCAGTTAGTCACTTTGTTATATCTATGAACAGACTTTACATCCCGCATGGAAACGAGGATATATTGAAATATATCATCTGTTAGGCGATGAAACAAACAGTTATTATTCTTGTGCTGTGAATTTGCAAACAAGTTTGAGCCCGGGTCCAGAACAAACCAAAATTGTTTTGGATAAAATTGCTTTTTATCTTTCCCGTACATTTTTGGTAGACTGCTTGGTGATATTAGTCTACACGGTTACGAGAGTAAAACAATGGCGACTTGGCTTGAATTTTTGAACGATTTGCATATTGTATTTATTGCGGGCGGTATCCGAACAAATACACCGAAAGCTGCTGCGGCATGTTTACGACTTCGTATATTTATAAAGCGGTAGAACGTGCCGGAACTCATAACGCAAAAATTGCATGATGAAAATTCTGGACGGACGCCTTTTTGGGAACCAAATAGGCTTAAAAAAAATCAAAAGAAATGCTTAGAAGTTCGACCAAATGCTTCGCGCCACGCATCACAATCGCAATGCCTGCGCTGTTTTCTATTGATAAATTGCAAAATTTCCCGGACATATTTCCTGAAAATTGGAAAAGTTTTTTTAATCAAATCTCAAGCGAACTAAACATTAAAGTTCTTGATTATGATTATTGATAAATAAGATGAAAAATATATTCTTGCACACCCGGAAGTAAATTTGACCAAAAAAGTTACGTAAGAGAGCGTTGAAACAACAAGGAAAGAATGCCTCTCTTTCGGAGTCATTGAAAGTCAACTAGGCAGAAGAAATAGCGAAATAACTTTTCGTTAAAGCAAGCAAAGCGGCAAATATTCCGCATTGGAATTGCTTAATCCATTAAAATATTGAAGATGACAATGAGGAACTGGAAATTTGTGCTAATTTTTCATCGCAATTATAGAAATAGTAATGGGTGTTTTTTTTTCGATGTATAGAACTTTAAGTTGGCATTACTGTTCAAGATGGCGACCGATTTAACAGCTGTCAAGTGATTTATTCTCAGTTTGGTTTGACAATTCATCATGAATAGACTCACGCCTGAACAACGCTTGAAAATAGTGCAATTTTATTTCGAAAATAATGGTTCTGTGCCGAATACGTATCGCCCACTACGTCCATTTTATCGTCGACAAAATCGTCCATCAGAGCAGTTAATTCCATTAACCATGGAACGTTTTCGCACCACGTTTACTCTTATTGATAGCTCGCATCCCCAGAGACGCCATACGATGCGTACAGAAGAAGCTGTTACTGCTGTAGAGCGTAGCATTGAGGAAGACCCGAATGAGTCCATCCGCCATCGAGCACAGGTATTGGATCTGTGTCCATCCACTTTATGGAAGATTTTGCGGAAGGATCTTGGTTTACGTGCTTAGAAAATCCAACTCGTGCAAGAGTTGAAGTCAAACGATCATCAAGTAAGGCGTAGATTCATCGAGTGGGCCCAACACGAGATTGCCGTTCTTCCCGATTTTCATAACCGAATTTTGTTTAGCGATGAAGCGCACTTCTCGTTGAATGGCTACGTCAACAAACAAAACTACCGCATTTGGAGCGAAGCTAATCCTGAAATGTATGACGAAACACTGTTACATCCAGAAAAACTGACTGTTTGATGCGCTTTATGGGCTGGTGGAATCATTGGTCCGTACTTCTTCAAAAACGATGATGGCCAGAACGTTACAGTCAATGGTGATCTGTATAGATCTATGATTACTAACTCTTTCATTCCTGAATTGAATAACCATGATGTCCAGGAGATGTGGTTTCAACAAGACCCCGCAACATGTCACACAGCTCGTGCCACAATCGATTTATTGAAGTACACGTTTGGTGACCGCCTAATTTCACGTTTTGGACCTGTGAATTGGCCTCCAAGATCTTGTGATTTAACACCGCTAGACTACTTTCTGTGGGGCTATGTAAAGTCATTGGTCTATGCGGAAAAAGTCATCGAAAATTGGACGTCCAGATTGGACTACATCCGCGCCAGCCGTGGCGATCATATACCAGAAATCATATTTAAAATGTAATGCCACAAGATTATCTTTCGGATAAATAAAATTCATGTGAATCGAATAATCCATCGTTGTTTTATTGCAACTTAAAGTTCTATACTTCGAAAAAATACACCCCTTATTTTATGCAACAAGTGTGGTAAACGGCATTTGACTCACGAATGTATTTGACACGAGCGGCGCGCAGCGGAGCGAGTGTTTTATAAACGAGTGATTTAAAAAGTTTACCGAACTTGTTGCATAGTATACTTTTTCTACGACCGTTAGTTTTTACCCGAACGAATACACACGAATACATTCACTGACATGACCGTCAGAATCAAGGCGAGGGAAATATCTCCGAAATTAATTAAAGAAATTACAGACGAGAGTAGAAAAACTATTTTTGGGTAACATCGAGCAGTCCAATCTTTCTACGCACCAATATTGGGATGTATATTTAATAGATTCGCAGGTTCTTGCCATTTCAATCTTTATTGTAAAGCCAAAGTAACATTTACCGCCCACTAGTGTGGGCAACAATGTTGCTGAAGTAGAAAAAGTAAAGTCAACGACATTTCATGTCGTAGATTAAAGTCTCCGACTTTGTTTCAGGTTTCGACAATATTTATAAACATGTCAAAAAAGGTCTTTACCGAATCAATTTATTGGTACATTGAAGTATCTATATTTTGTGATTTGTACGTTTCAAGTCGTGCAGTTTACAAGGTGTGAGCTTATTCGTTTACCTAACGGTTATCAATAAATTTGGTATATAGTGGAGTTGAACTGAGGTGGCTTTTACTTGATGAAAGCCATTTATCAAAATAAATAAGAACTAAAAGTTCAGAATTTCACGAAATTGTATATTATGACATGACAATTGTTTCGACAACTCCGTGTCTTTATCAAATGTCAATCATTCATTCATTCATCAAATGTACATTTGATAAAGACACGGTGTTGTCGAAACAATTGTCATGTCATAATATATAATTTCGTGAAAATCTGAACTTTTAGTTCTTATTTATTTTGATATAGTGGAGTAACGAAAAAAACAAGAATATCCCTAACTTTGGGATATTAAGCATACATGGTGCAACAAAAAATAAAAAGTATAATGCCTGGAATGGCATTGCAATTTCTTTGGAAGTAGAGAGTGCGGAAATTAAGACGAGAATAAAAAATATTTCCGGATTTTTTTTTAAAGAATACAAGTGACCAAAATGGTTTACGAACAATATATTACTTACTGATCGTTTAATATTTTTCAGTTGAGTGCTATTTTCATGTTATGGCTTAAGTTTAGTTTTCTACATTTGAAAAGATAACTAAAAGTGGTAAATTAATCCTCGGAGGCCAAAACCTAAGCGTAAGTAAATACAAGCCGCTCCTGCACAAGAATTGCATCTCGATAATTCGTGTCCATTTTGCATCCTGGGACCGATCATTTGGAGTTTCGAAGTGAATTGAACTCATTCTTATAAAATTTTATTCTTAAACGCTAAATTAATTTTCGCCCTTTAGTCGCTAAATGAAGTTCAACAATATTTAACAATAGGTAACAAAAGTTACAGTATACGGAGGCAAAAATAACCAAGCGCATCCCTAAGTTTCTTAAATTATCTCTAAATAATGCTGCAAATTTGCTGGATTTTGATTGGGCACTTTTCTGAACAACTGAAAGTCACTGAATAACACTGCTACGTTTTTTCTCTCACCGCTTATGTGTCACGCCTAAGAAAAAGGGTTTGAGACAGATTATGATGGAGTAAAAATGACAAGAGATGTCGCCGGGGAGCAATATTTTCAACTAGAAACTGGGTTATCAAAACTTCTTCATATTATATTATTAGCTTTTACTAATTGCTCGATTCTATTGACTTTATTTTTTTATATGTGTAAGTATGCATCCTATTGATGGACTGGTAGTTTAAGAGAGTTAGCATTTAGCCATCCAAAGGATGTCGTGCGCCCTTCAGTTATAGAGCTTTAAGTCTCTTATTAGACTCCACTGCTTCCGTCGTTGCTTCTTGGTGCCTGTTAGACCGGCAATGGCTCGTATATATCTTTGTGAATGGTTTATCGACATTTATAAATAAAACGTCGCTTGGTTGCAGGTACGGTCAACTTAGTGGCATGGTGGAGCCCATCTTCGGGGTGTTGGGCGCCGTTGCCGTCAGTTTGGCCCAACCTGCGTTACCGTACGCCTTATCTTTCGCCGCCGGTGCCATGATCTACGTGGTCATGGATGACATCATTCCCGAGGCAAACACGAAGTAAGTTCAACTTTTAAAATAACACCGCTTCGAAAAGGACCACCGGGTATTTCTAACACGTGCCTTCTTCGGTCACACTTTGAAATCTACTTCTTGTGCACACACATATACCGTGGATAACATTCCTCGGTTTGTTTGGCACTTAATGCGATTCCTGGTAAAATGATGGCCCGCCAGCGCTAAGTAACAGGCAAACACAAATAAAAGAGGCACCGTATATATCTATAGGGGGAGAGAGAGACAGAGAGAGATAAAATTTTAAAGCTAACATTTTGTAATGTGAATAAGAATGATAACGGGCGTACTCTTGCTGATCAACATTGATAACGTTTATACTCTTCGTTCTTCTATGGATTCTAACCTCAAACATTGAGAGAAAGACAGTGATTGTGTTCTCTGTCATCACTTTAACACTAAAAAGAGATAACTCTAATAATTATGTCTTGAATTTCTAGAGGGTGAACTGTTTACTAGAGGATACTTCAAACTAACAAACTATATAGTTTTATCATTTTTGTAATTAAGAACTAAACAAATTGTTACTAATATTTACGAACAAATGTTACGTACGAAAATATATAGAAAATGTAAAACAATTGAAACTTTCAAATATTTTGATCCTCCAAATTTACTTTGATTTTTTAGCCAATTGAAACAAAAAAAAAGCTTGATAATCCAGAACTTAAAGGGCTACACAAACCAAATACGTAGTTGCACAACTCAGCATAAATCAAATAGAGTTGAGTCGTCGTCAGCATCATTAAGCACTACGTTCCTGATGGGTGGGTTTTGGCTGATTGACCAATTTTTTGCCAATTGACACGATCTTCCATTTATCCATGGTCAAAAGGGATGTTCATGTTTTTGGAAGTCTGATCTGATCTCTCTAACGCATTGTGGGACAGTCGAGTGGCCTTTTTCCCATTGTTCCCATTGGAGCCTCATCCTCATCCGTACATGTTCGTCCCTACTTAGTCGTTGGGATTTGATCTCTAGAATAATGTCACTATTGCTGTAGAGCTCTTGACGTGTTTTATTTTATATCGGTTTTTGGGTCATAGTGGGGCCCAAATACTTTTCTGACGATTTTTCGTTTCAAATAGAATTGATTGCATGCAACAAATATTCGGGGCCCATCGGTCAACTTGGTTGGTTACTAAACGGTAGCACAACTTAAATACATTATAGAATATTTGAACATTATAGAATATTTGAGCCCAAATCGAGCGCAATTTATTGCGATAACAAAAATATTAAAAATTCAAGGTGGGGTTTGGGGGTAGCAACTTGACCCGTTTTTTAATCTCTGGTGGAAACGTCATTCGAAATAAATCCGGCAACACCGCGCGTGTAACAATATGAATGATTCGGAATACACGCTTGTATACTGGGCGAGCGTAATTCGAGCCGCGTTTATCTTCCGACGACGTTTTATTTTCATTCTTTAAAAGACCGAGGCTGATAAGAAACATCGGACCCCGACGCCTTTTTCCTGGAATCGCTGTGACAGAGGCCGTTCAGCACGGAGAGGGAGAGCAAGACAAGACGTTCTCAACAGTCAGTTGATAAAGAATACGATCGATAAAGATACCGAAATGTGTTTACCGATCTGCCGAGAATTATGCTAACGAGTGAACGTTTGCGCCCACCAGGGTCACTACTATCGAATTTCAGATAATAGAAATGTTGTGGGCAACTAGTGTTTCCCTAAGATGGCCATATTATCAGCTACAGTTTTTTTTTCTTTTCTGCTCATTCACGATATTTTTACTACCAAATTAATATCTATTAATGAATTTTTTTTTGAGTTGAAAGTTTTTTATCAAAATTGTCAAAGGTTTAATTAAGTTACTCAATTTTAAGTTGACTCTGTGTTGTTCTGATCGTACTGGGATTTATGATAACGAATTATTGGATTTAAGATATAACGTAAGATGTAGTGATGGGCATATCGAGGATATTTGGCTAAAGTATACTTATTATTCTCAATATAGTTATGTATATGCGTTGTATATTCCGCCCAAAATGGCTTGTGAGGCTGACCAAAGTGTGTTTGAAAAAATCGAGTGTAGTGTAGTAGAATTAGGACTAGATGCCCGATTTGTCTTCGTGGGGGATTTTAATATAACGGGGTTGGTGAACATTGCAGATAATAGCCACGTAACACAAGTCGTAAATATACAGTTCATACATTTCTTAGGAATGGTCCAGTTTAATAATATGCTAAACAACCTAAATCGAATATTAGATTTAGTAATAACTAATTGTGACATAAACTTAAAAAATGCTACTGGAGCTTAGTGGAGGAGCACGCTGACCAGCCCCCGCTATTTTTTCAGATAAAAATATTCTCCGTATCATGAAAACCAACTAAAATATTCAATGCCAAAAAGCAGATTTTTTAAAAATTTTATAACTTATTAAATCATTGGGTCGAATTAACGACACATACGGCCGTTAACAGTATTACATAAAAATTCTATAACATATTGTATGGAGTTATTGATCTAAATCTAAGATATATTCACCCTGGTACACAAAATAGATTATAGTTGATATACAAAAAAAAAACAGAAACAGAAAAAACTACAAAAAATCCAATCGAGAGTATTATCTACAAAATTTTTGACCTAACAAATGCTCTTCAGAGTTATGAGTGTAAATTAGTTGAAGGCATTTTACAAAACTGTTTTTTACTCCAAGAGGATATGCATAGAGCACAAGAATGGGCCAGTGAAAACAAATTATCCTTTAGTGTACAAAAATGTTTTAAATTTAAGTTTACACGAAAAAAATGTCCATTAAATTATGATTATCGACTGAATAATGTAATATTTCTAGTTTAATAATATGCTAAACAACCTAAATCGAATATTAGATTTAGTAATAACTAATTGTGACATAAACTTAAAAAATGCTACTGGAGCTTAGTGGAGGAGCACGCTGACCAGCCCCCGCTATTTTTTCAGATAAAAATATTCTCCGTATCATGAAAACCAACTAAAATATTCAATGCCAAAAAGCAGATTTTTTAAAAATTTTATAACTTATTAAATCATTGGGTCGAATTAACGACACATACGGCCGTTAACAGTATTACATAAAAATTCTATAACATATTGTATGGAGTTATTGATCTAAATCTAAGATATATTCACCCTGGTACACAAAATAGATTATAGTTGATATACAAAAAAAAAACAGAAACAGAAAAAACTACAAAAAATCCAATCGAGAGTATTATCTACAAAATTTTTGACCTAACAAATGCTCTTCAGAGTTATGAGTGTAAATTAGTTGAAGGCATTTTACAAAACTGTTTTTTACTCCAAGAGGATATGCATAGAGCACAAGAATGGGCCAGTGAAAACAAATTATCCTTTAGTGTACAAAAATGTTTTAAATTTAAGTTTACACGAAAAAAATGTCCATTAAATTATGATTATCGACTGAATAATGTAATATTAAGCACAAAAAAGCAAATTAAAGATCTGGGCGTAACTGTAAACAGAAAAATAAGCTTCGAAACACATATACGTAACACAACGAAAGGGCGTGTGTAATGCTGGGTTTTATTCTCAGGAACGGATAAAATTTTCAACAAATAAAAACTTTCATATCAAACTTTACTTCAAGAATTTCGTTATGAAACGAGAGAAGAGAGAAGAATTCTACATTAACGTTATTTTATAAATTAGTTCATTATGAAATTGATTGTTCTTTTCTTCTGAGTAGCAAAAGTTTCAACTCTAGCCCCTATTTCACAAATAGAAGTAGCGTATGATCTCCCCACTATTCCGAATGTGTAGTTTAGCGAACAGGCGAAAAAAGGAAATGGACATTTTTACTTGTACTTTCAGCACTTGAAAAAATTATCATTTACCACCTAAGGTATTTTATTTAGTATTATCTGCAAATTTCACTTGGATATGTATGTATTTGCTTATGCACTTTTGTGTTTTTTGGTTTATAGAAGAAACATTTTTATTTCTCTTTTTGCGATAACGTGTTAATGTAAGTACGATTTGTGTTTGTGGAATCCGTTGGACACCCACCTGAAATTCATTTCTAGACACCTTTTTTTAATGAGAGAAAAATCTTACTTTACGCTTTGAGTTGATTCACGGCGGTATTCAGGAAATAGTTCTGAATGTTATATTTGAACTTAACCGACAGTATCTCTCAGAACAGCTTCTTAACATCTCTTTACTAGAGAAAAAAAACTAAGAAAACTAAATACTGTTTGCGAAAAAAGGGACATGACAACGAGCATTTTCAAAATATAACATTTCGTTGAAAATTGTCCATAAGTCTTAGTCTAGTTTAGAAGCTAACCAAAAGCAATTTCAATTGGAGTCAACTATCTTGATTCATCTTCCCTGCTTTTCCTCAGTTTACTCTTGCAGGTTAATGTATTGTTTTATCAGACTAACGTTGTCTGATTTATTACATTAAATTAAATAAAATCTTTTAAATTAGGAAATGAATGCCATAAGTCAAACTTAATTAAATGTTACAAATTCTTTCACACATATTATTTCGATAGAGCTCATAAAGTTTTATTTATTCCAAATTGAAACATGAAGGAAATACTGTAAAACTGAAATGTCCGATACTCGATTGAACATAGCGTTATATCAAGGTAAAAGTTGGCATCTTATGGGTAATAAACAATTTATTATTATGATAATTATATATTTACCGGTCAAGGCTATTTAAAAGTCGCAGTAAAGTACTTAAGAATGACAACAAGATCTGCATAAGTTACATAAAATCCATTTAGTTACAATATACTAATTATTATTTCAAGCGAAGGAAAAAAGAGACCAGCATCAACTGGTTTTAATTGCAATTAATGTACTGTCGAGACTGTGAGGTTTTTAAAGAAAAAATTGATTGGTGCAGGTATTGCGAGACCCGATATGATGATTTTGCGGATAAAGTATAAGGTCCTTCTGCTTCCTTCTTGAGAAGTTGAATGTCCTACAGAGGTGCACATA